TCGCTCTCAGTAACCATCAGTTACACTACCGCCGGGTTCGTCCCCTGGTTCGGTTTAGTGTAGTGGTCCACCGTTTCCCTTATATGGGTTTCTCTTTAAAACGAATGTATACACCTTTGTGCTTAAAACGGAGGCGGTACGCTCCAGGTCATATAACCGTCCGGTTGCCGATTGACGCGCCTGATTTGGTTATCGAATGTAGTGTCCCACCGTGTCCCTAATGTAGAACAGTCTCTGATACGAAAGTAGCTATCATAGTGCTCAAGTAAAATACTGACTGAATATTTTGTTCCTACTTTAAATTAAACAAAAATGTTTCACACCATCACACGCAAACTTCTATTGTCGTGCGAATGTATTTGTTCTTAAATTTTGGGATGTTAATCCCAGTAATCATCATTTAAGTAACAATGTTTTAAATTAAAAACATTTTTTTTCGAAATACTGTGTTAATATTAAAACGATGTACTGTTCATTGTAAATAGTATTACGATATTTATAATATGTAGAAAATATTTTTTTAAATTATTTTACAATTTATTTTAATATATTTTTTATAGGAGTAAACTATACTTTTCTTAAAACATTCTCACTATATTTATTGCAAACTTTTTTTATTACGGTAACAGACCTTCATCCTTAGTTGAATTATCTTGAGACTTGAAAATACTTGTAGAATAAAATATAAAAACATATTATTAGGTAAACAGCTTACAAATACAATTTAGATAAAGCTGTTTTTAACTTCTAGCTTTAAACCTAATGAAGATACAGAACAAGTGCCAAATTATACGGGTAGATAAATGGATCTCGGGAAATGTATAAAATATATGTATCTTTAGATACTCTATCCCAGCTTTCCCCTCACAATGTAAATACCTGTGGGATGAAACAAATAAAAAATCTCAGCTTTGTTTACAATCAGAATATTTATCAAGAATATGTAACTCCTCACACGCTAAATGTGTATACTCGTGCGAATGTAGGCCTACTCGTTGTAAGCTTTTGTGAAATTAATCGACGCTTTAAATTAAAAACATTTTTCTATATGAAATTAAAACCGTTGTTCGATATTATTGTATTAATATAAAAAATACATACTAATAATTGATACTATTAATTGTAAAAATTATTACGGTATATATTATGTTTAACAAAAAATTAAATTATTTTACAAATATTTCTTACCTATCATATAGTTTAGAAAATGATACATTTCTAAATTACTTACACTACAAATAATGTATTCATTATGTGATTTACGGGGCAATCATTTACACATTTCAGATATCTAGAGACTTGACAATCTAATTATACAGGTATTAGGAAACTGAAGTTGTATACCTTCTTTTATTCTATTAATAACACTCATGGTAAATTTTAAAACATTTTCAATGATACTAAATTCTAATCGCAATGCCGCTAATTTTCATGTTTTTCTTTTCACAAATTAGACTAATTTATGACTACCATGTTTTGGAGGTAAAATTTTAAATTTTGGTTCTATTAATTAATAATTAAAAATAAAATAATTTTTTAAAAAAAGAGAAGACTGGTTGCAGATATAGGTCTAATTGTACAGAGTGAATGTTATTGATCACTTATTGTTTATAACATACATAATCTATTATTTTCTTTTCCCGTTTTAGGAAGCCCACACCAAAACCATAATTAACTGTATTAATAATATTTTAGACATGTTTTTATTTCAGTAATGTACATTTTTAACAACACAACTGTGTCGGTAAATAGCTCGGAATTAGACGTGTGTTATGTGGAACTCTGTGTGTTTTTATATTCATGTAGAATTCCTGGTTTAGTGATAGCATTTCTGATATTTATAATTTTAACCAATGTACTATCTTTATAATATTTAAGGCAAGTAACATAGGCAAAAGGGAAACTAACATCATTACAAATGATGTATGCGGATGTTTGCTTTCTGTCAACGTTACCGAATTTACCATTATCTGATACTATAGGTAATGTACTAGGCGTTATGAAAATCATTTTATTTTACAATACAATATAGGAACATAAATTATATAATCTGACAATACTGTTTTTCTTTATTTACTTACTAACAATGTTGAAAATATTTGTTAAGTTAATGGTACTATATACTACAACTGTCAAAATCGAATTCGTTATGGATGTAATGTTATCATTAATCCTACAATTTTACGGCTCCCATGAAATAAAGACACTACAACAAGACATCAACAGGCTAGGGTGTGATGATGTCGGTGAGCAAAAATGTAATAGTAAACAACACATGATTTAGACACCAGTCTACACTCTATATCAAAGTTACACTGTAGTGTTTACATAGTCGGTATGACGGCTAAACCGGTGTCTTCACATCATTGATATAACGGTTAAACTGTGGTATTTACATCACGGTTAAACTGTGGTGTTTACATCACGGTTAAACGATGGAGTAAACAGTATGGTGGATAAAGGGACTGCAAATAAACGTTTCGAATTTAAATCCAGGTAAAACTCAATACAACACCCTGGAGGTCCACCCAGCTCTAAACGTTAAGGAAGTAAAGGCGGCTGGGCGTAGTGCTGACCACACTATCTCTTCAATTGGCCAGATCACAGAGATAGGTGAAATCTACGTGGACCATTAGGTTCGAAACGGGAACTTCGCTACGGCGGATAAAGTATGATTTTCAATGTAGACAACACTATGCCAGTTTACTATTTTAATTATTTGATATAAGTAAACCATGAAGTGAACGATTAAACTCATTGCAATTTGTGTTTCTACAGTAAAGATAAAACATACTGACAGGAATTCATATTTAATTTGATCAATATCGCTTTTAGCCGTACAATAAAACCCATAAATATCTACTTGTAAGAGAAAACTAGACTACCCGTAATTCTTGATTTCTGCCAAGCATGGGTCTGACCACACTATTCCTTCATTGTTCATGGTCGTACTAGGTTCTGGAAATCTGTAGGGACCACTCTAGCTTTAAGACTCGGCTGATGGCTTATAAACAGATGCTCTGAATTAGTGAAGGGGAATGAGTGATACTTTACATTATTTTATTGTTAATAATTTATGAAGATTACATTACATGTTTAAGATAAAGATTTTATACTTGAATTACTTACCATTTTTTTTTAAATAATCGAATGGGCTACTTTACACAATTTAAGATTTCTAAAATACCTATAACGTAAGTACCATTTAATTTAAGCAAACGACATTTTACACATATGTGATACAGCGCATTGATTGCCCAATCTACTGATTGGGACACACCGCAAGTTTAATGTTTGGGGCTCACAGTCACCACGTAGATAAAGGATGACACGGCTAACAGTTGAGCGCTCTATCTACTGCTGGGAATGATGACTTATGACGCGTTTTGCTGAACAGATGACGCCAACTTGTATCTGAGTTAGACAGGCACATTTTGATACTAAAAAAACTGTTTCATCAAGAACGTTTCAATATTTGACAGCTTTGCCGTAAACGTTCAACAAAAGAAGTTTACAACTGTCTTTGTTGAGGAACTCTTTTTTCTTCTGTTCCATGTACAGTATAACCTGTGACGGTAACATTATGTTGTACTTATCTTGTTGTGAATTTAATTTGCTTTCTTATAAACCTTTTTTTCTCCTAACAACAAAAGAACTGCTTACATTTCATGAACTAATGTAGGTTAAAATATAGGAAAATGATTTTAAAAAATGACTGCAACCAACCACTCTTGATGCTAAAATTGACTTAATCTTACCCTAGAATGTGGACGATCATTTAAATATTTTAAACTTGTATTTCGCAACCTGGCTGGTGAATAATGATTATTTAATTGTGTAATTCAAAAATGTAAAAAATTGAATGTTATTAAACAGGGAAGCAACTATGTAAATACTTGTCATTCAATCTTTATTTCATTGTTACTTCCCTTTGACCACAAAATAGTTTTTGTTTCCAATTTACGGAATCGCGGTAGGCCTATTTATATTTTATAGCTTAGCTTTTCCAAGAATTTATTTCATGCATTTGTTTTATCGTTTTAACCAAAATAATTAAACCGATATTGCCCCTAGTTCATCTTCATGCTATAACTGAAAATGTATCAATATTCAAACTTAAGTAGGATTGGTGTAACAGTTGTGTATAACATTGTGTTACATATTATGTTTAAATTGACCAGCCATTTTAAAGTAAAGCTAACTTGCATATCATGGGGTCAATTCGGCAGAGAAAGTAGAGTTCATGTGTTGGTGTTATACTCATGACTTATTACGTCATTTAGCCCACACGGAAAACCCAGCCGAATTATGTTTCTCCAAACATGTCCAGGTACACATCAGATCTGTGCATCATGAAAGGTAATCGAACATGGGAATCAATCTCGTATACTTAGGGACAAAATGCACGTACTTTTTTACTCGACCATGTCCCATTTCTCCATTTGCTAATTAACGCTCTGCTTTATAGTTTTCATGTTTGAAAACTTTGAATCAATGTTTTAAAGTCACACTAGTTGTTCTATCACTGCCGATGTATTAACCTCTACAAAAGTTGTTTTTTAATATCACAGTCAATGATTGTTAAAGGATTTCTAGCCAATTATAATGACATCAATGTTTACACAAATGTCAGTCAATGACAGCATCAAACTACTTTTTCATTTCTATTGGAGCAGGTCTAGAAGCGACGAAGTATCTAAATATAGCATGCGATGTGTCAAAATATTTTTAAATTATTAGAATTCCACATTTTTCTAATTATCTCATTTCAGTTAGTCTAACAAGTGTATTGGGCATAAACAAATAGACTTTGTTGTAAAGTTTAAACTTACAACCCATGACAGCCTGGCGCGAACATCGACATCACAACATGCACTGTTTGACAACAACTTAAACATCAACAGACAACATAGATTAAAATAACAACAGTAGAAAGATATTTTCTTTTACCATTTAATGTCGTCTAGTGTGAACATTTTGTAAACAAAAACAAACAGTATGAATTTGACATTTTAAAAGGTAGGTTACATTTAATTTACAGGTAATAGCCAGCCTATCTATAGGTATAGGACAACGATTGCCGACAAAAGTTATAATCAAATTATTTACAACATTTGAAACAAAAAAAACTCTAACACTCTACAATGTACATGCAAACTAATATGCTTAAACGGTTTACATCAATCAACACATTTGTTCTAATCATTTAAATGTAATAAAATGTTAGTAAGACATGCAGGTCTTTAAGTTTAATGACGGGAAAGGTTCCGCCATTTTGTTTGTTTACATTGTGTAGACAAGGGGAGAGAACTAACAGTTACATCAGACACACTCCCCACTATAATTTCCTTCAGGGTTTGATCCACTGTGGGGATGGAGATAGAACCACTCGTCATGTCTCAGCCTGTAGACAGTCGCTCCACTGGAGCCAGGACATGTACATGTTGTGTACCAGTACCTGGTGACCTTGCTGTTCACGCCATCCCTCTCACGTTTGTGTGTCCATTGTCCTACAGAGACCTGTTTAGGACAGCCATGAGGATGTGACACTATAACGGTCAACTTGTTCAGACCAAAAAATCTCCCGTATTTGTATTTCTCGCTTACTTTCCAACATAGATGATCAAAGTGCCGCCACATCTTGTCCAGTTCATCAACCAACTCTAAGTCACATGTCTCATATCTCAAATAACACCTGTCTCCCTCAATGTTTGCCCCACCCCACTTCACCTCCCAGCCATCAAGACTGACCACTGGACTTTTATTGTCATCAAAACCTAAAACACACCTGGTCTGTCTCGCCTCACTGTCATCAAACACCACGTGTGTGGCTGTGGTCACAAAAACCTTCCCCCACACTTTGCTGGGTGTGGCAGAGACTTGACACTTGGCACAACGACAAGATTTTCTGTCACTCTCTGTGTACTTGATCACATACCACACCCTCCCCGTCCCTAACCTCATCACGTGACTTCCTCTGTCCTTATAACATGGATATGGAACTTGAGTGTCTGGGTAAAACTCTGGTCTCTCTAGACTGGTGAATTCAGACTTTACCTGGACAGTTAGGGCTGCCAATGCTTTGATTGTCTCAGACATGAGGTCGTTATGGTAACGTGAGGGGAGACAACTTGCGTTGAAATCTTTAAGAGGTATAAAACCTTTGTGACCTGGATTCTTCTTACAGTCAGTAACACGCGTGTGTAGATCAGCTTCTCCTCCATAGCACATCTCAGCTTCATGATTTCCTACAGGAATATGGGGAAACAAATTATTCAAATTGACTAAAAGAATCTTTAAAAATGATATAAAATTCTTTTAATTCAATTAATTAGCTATGTTTTGTTTAAACTAGCACAACTAGCACAAATGTGCTAAATCTTAAAAAGAAATTAAAAATGTATATGTGGTTTTCTTTCAGAACAAGGGAAACATATTTTCTAAAAGTTTTAAAACAGATAAATACCTCTATACTATAAAAATCACATATTATTTTAATACATATTATGTTCATGCTAGATTGCTAGCACAGATTTATATGCACTAAATCTGAAAACAAAACTATTAGTATGTCAGTTTTCCTTACTTACAGGAAGATATAATAACACAAACCCATTAATATGAACAAATAAAATTCTAATTTTTTCTGATAATTTAACATTAAAGGATACCTCTACCTGTTGACATAAAACTATAACATAACATAATTGTATTGCTAGATTAGCAAACATATATAGAGGATTTATTAATTCTTTTTAAATTACTGCGGAGATACGTTATGTATGTATAATAAAAGTTGTTCATTACCTGTAAGTGTAGAGAATTCAGGCTTTTTGTTAACATTTCCCATGACATGTGTCTGTAGATATTTAAAATGTTTTATTGAAAACCTGCCATTGGTTTGTAAGATACATACAAGTGAAATACAATTAATCAATGAAACAAAATAAAGAATTAAAAGATATGCAATATTTTTTAAATGAATAATTATTTAGATAAGTTCGTAATGGTCTTTCAGTTATTAATAAATTATGTATATGATATTTATAATGATATTCTGTATTATATCCAGAACTTCAGATGTAACCTTTTAAAACTAAACCTGAGCAATGTAAGCTTATAGTTTTGTAATTGTTCACTAACTTACCTAAAATGTACTAAGCTTTCTGTTTAAAAAGATGTTTTCGGAACAAATAAACACAGCTGTCACAACTTATCTTCGAGATCTGAAATCATACACAGGAGTATAAAATGAAATTGTTTTATTTTTTGAAAAAAAAATATGAGATATAGAAAACTACATACAATTTAAAAACAAACTTATATAAACTAACAAGGAATAACCAATATTTTAAGAATGTATTTAATTTAAATACTTAATGTGTAAGCAAGTCAGCATGGTGTGGCTATATTTTGACTTGAATATAAAAGTTCTCATCAGGAGGGAAAAACACTTGAATGAACACAAACAGCTGCCAAATCTGGATGACCTGAAATTAAACAGTTAAGAATAATGCTATTTAAATAATTCACAAAGAAGGTAAAGCACCAAAATAATACTTCAACTGGATGAAATAAGGAGACTTATCATTATAGGATCATAACTGCATATCTATGTGACTTACATTACTGCAATAAATTATAATGAAGCAGCCTAAATCCTAATTCTAGTGTTTCAATTTTATAGTTGATGATATATAGTAGACAATATTTTATGCACCATTAGACAGTGCAAAATATGCTGAAGGTGACATGCATACATCAAAAATATGGTCTATATGTCTATACTTTTTAAAAGTAGCCCTACTTATTGACAAAATCATCATATAGCAATTTAGTTTTAAAGGTACTTAAACAATTGTAGGGCTTTTGTTTAAATTCATCTTGTATATTTACATTTTATTGTATTAAATAATTTAGAATGCTTTTTTCCATTGTATAGATCTAGTTACAATTATTTTCAAATGTTTTTATGGTTTATTTTTTAGAGCACTCTTTTATGTCTCTCATTAGTAAGTTGAAAGATGTGTATTTATATTTTATACTGAGGCTTTTCGTAATTTATAGGGCATTGCAGGTATTGTAATCCTATTATTCACATAAAATCTAGATCTAGTAAAATACATAAGTTCAAAGTTAAAAGTAAAATACTCAGTCATTTAAACTACTAGAACTAGACTCGCTATTAATACAATACATATAGAAATCTAGATTTAGATAATAATAATTTTATAATATTATCTAGATCTAGACTATTTTCTAAATATTATCTAAACTAGATCTAGATCCTAGATTCTAGATCTAGATATCTAGATCTACACTGAGATTTTTTATACGAAGTGTCTACTCGGAATAAGATTTTTCGGCAAAAGATAGTTCTGCGCATGCGCAGTGACCTATGGCTAGGGTTAGGGCTAGAATGAGGGTTAGGGGTAGGATTAGGGGTAGGATTAGGGGTAGGATTAGGGATAGGGTTAGGGTTAGGGATAGGATTAGGGCTAGGGTTAGGGATAGGATTAGGGTTAGGGATAGGATTAGAGATAGGGTTAAGGATAGGATTAGGGTTGGTATTAGGGTTCTGCGGTTGTAAACACACGCATGCGCAGTACCATCGAAAACATCGCCGCTAAGTCGTAGTTTCTCTCCATTGCGCATGCGTATCGCATGCGTATCTTATTCCGACTAGAATCGGCCTTTTTTATATTATACTCAACACATGACTTGGTAATCTAAAATCTAGATCTAAATCTTATTAGAATCTTCAATCTAGAGAGATCTAGATCTAGATTCTAGATCTACTAACTAGAATCTAGACTCTAGATCTAGATGATAGATCTAGATCTAAATATCTAGTTAAAGTAGTTAGAGTCTAGCTAGATCTAGAATCTAGATCTAGATAGACTCTAGATTCTAGATTTAGGTCTGGATCTGGATCTAGATCTGGGAAGAATACTATAATATAAAATAAAAAGTACTATAACTATAAAGTATTAGTATTATAAAGTCTAGACTAGTGACTAGAATCTTATCCAGATCTAGAGATCTATTAATTACTAATCTAGATTTAGAATCTAGATCTAGATTGTTGATCTAGATCTATCTAGATTTTTAGGATCTAGATTCTATACTCTAGATCTAGATCTAGTAAGATTTAGATTACCAAGTCATTCTGAAGTAGATCTAGATTCTAGAGTCTAGAATCTAGATCTATCTAGAATCTAGATCTAGTTAGATACTAGATCTACTAGATCTAGATAGTAGATAATAGATCTAGATCTAGATCTAATCTAGATTAGATCTTAGATCTAGATAAATCTAGATCTTAGATCTAATCTAGAATCTAGATCTAGACTCTAGATCTAGAATATTTAAATCTAGATCTAGATTCTAGATCTAGATTCTAGCTGGAGTAGTAGAGTTAAGTAGAGTCTAGCTAGTCTAGATCTAGATCTAGAATTTCTAGAATCTAGATTCTAGACCTAGTCTAGATCTAGACTCCATGTGTTGAGTATAGATCTAGATCTAGATCTAGTCTCAGTATATATATCTAGTATGTATATTCTTAATCGATTTACATTTTATATCTATCTAATTAAAATATAGATCTAACTAAATTACTAATCTATTACTGGTACGTGCTACGCCTAGTACTAGTAGGCCTACCGTACGCGAAATGATCGTCTGCTGTAAAACTGGTTTAACTTTTTAAAGTATCGATACCATAATTTATCAGATAACTCGCCATTTAGGCCTTAAGCTACAGAAATAAGGCTTTTTTTTACGGGCATTATTTAAAAAAAAATGCTTAAAATTCTGCATATTTTAAGCACAGCATCTTTCTTTTAAATTTCAACATTTTGTAGAGCTATGATGTGTATCTCGGTAATAGTAGAACGTGTAATTATTTTGAATATTGATATGGTCCACATTGGCATACATAAATACTAGATCTAAAAAGTCACATTTTCTGCGACTTTCTACCAAATTATTTTTTTCATACTGCAGTAAAACTGATCAAAAGAACCAATGAGTTTATGTAGGGGTCACTCGTTGTAGATCAGTTGGCAACATTGAAGTAGAGTCAGTGTTTCTTTCAGACTTTTTATCCGGGGGGGAGGGGAGACTGATATTTTCGATGGGGTGGTCAACATTTTCCGAGGGAGGGGGGGGGGGGGAATTGATAAAAGTATGTTTTCTATATAAATTCCATTTCGTTCGGGGGGGGGGGGTCCGCCCCTTCTGAAGAGATGCCTGGAAGTAACTCTGAGTAGAGTTCACTTGTTTCTGTGACCTTGGCAACATTACGACATAATTAATAAGTGATTATATATTTTAATGTGTTCAAAAACGTTTCATTTGTATACCTTTTTACGTTTTTCTTGGTAAATTCAATTTGATTATATGCATTACATTGAAAATTATTGTGTCTACGGAGAAACAAAAACCAAAGTGTGGCTTTAACCAATGTTAGAATTATTTAACAATAACTTACTTTAGATTGATTTTAAAACCCCAATTCGCCAATAAAATCTATTTGCATTTCTTCGTTTTTAACCATGCCACCTGATATATTATCTTTCATATTTAATAACGTCACAACACCACTACCCCTCCACTCCCCACACACACCCTGCCGTCACAACACCACATCTTCTCACGTCTTGTCCACACCTCCACATACACCCTGCCTCCTTCCCCACACAATGCTTGACATTAAGCTCGACTATTCCAAAAAAAATAAATTCACATAACATATGTATTGAACGTATTAAAAGGTTTAGTTCAGTTAATGGCAAACCATGAACAAAACTTATACACAAACTCTTTTTATAAAAGCAGATCCACAGCGTCACCAAATAAAGTAATACAATTTGGTAGCAACATATCTATGGTAGCGCTGACCTTTGACAACATTTTGTAAAGTTTACAGAATTTCACTCTAAAACAAGTCCCTTAATCCCAGCTCCCCTCATATTGTATAACAAGCCTACACTGTTACCGTTTGACGAAACGCACGGGGAATGTGGGGGGAGGGGGTAAACATAGAGAAAAACTTAAGTTTCTGTGGTGGGGGGGGGGGGGTTGGTGTGCAATATTTTTAACTTAATATTGATATACATTTAAAATCTTTAATTTTTGTGTATGCACATTTAATCAGGCTTAAAAAGTTAAATTTACAAAGTCGAATTCTTGTGTGCAGATAGGTCGAAGCTTAATAATAGGTATTCAATTTTCTTTACTTAGTCAATATGATGTGTATAAGTTATTTCTACAGGTAAAATAATACACAAATGTCCTTAAATATGTTACGTTATTTAATCATCTGCATACGAATACTATATACATCTTTACTATGATTTACTAAGTTACCGATGACATAGGACGAAGGAGTAAAGACAGTTGGGGGTTTTAGCTATTGTAAAGAAAAGGTGTGTTGTATATTTTATTGTATTTTTAGTGTGTTTAGTGGTAGTAGTTGTTAAGAAAGTTAATTATACATATTACAATTTGCTGAAGCAATAATTTGTTGTATGTTTCTGTAGAAAATCGTGAAAATCCATACGCTATAAAGGAGTAGATGATCAACACAAACATGTTGATATTATTAGTGGGGTCGGAAGTAAGCGTGTTCCCGTCCTTATCACATGTTTATAGTTGGAGTGTTAGAAATAGAAGTAATCACCATATATAACGCATACATTCCTCCCGACACTATATATATATATATATATATATATATATATTTATATATATATATATAGGCCCATGTATTGTCAATAAACTATTTTATATGATGCATTGTCAATAAACACTTTTACAAGATGTATTGTCAATTTACTTCCCATCGCAACTTGTTAAATTAGCTTTTACTGCAATTAACATTGACATTATATACTCAATTTTTGTTATCGTTCACGTGTATTTATTGATTATAAATATCCACCTATACATCTCTCTCTCTCTCTCTCTCAATACATTTGTCGGTGTGTTAGTTTGTGTGTCTTGTATGCATTACTACACCTTTTTTCAATCACCATGGAGCTTTGGGAAGTTGTTGAGAATACACATATTGGTATCTTAGTGAAAGTCATAAAGCCAATTCATTAGAGACGAAACTTATAATATATAATCATTTATATACGTAAAGTAAAACTGTTTTAACTAACATGAAAAACAAGATGGCTGTTAAAGTAAATGAGCTTGGTTGCATCTGATCAAAACATCGCTAATCTTTATTTATTGCTGAAAAGTTTTAATACAATTGTTTAAAAACAGGTACATAAATGAAAGTTTGAAACATTTTTGTAATTTTTAAAACATCTTTCTAAAAATATAAAATAATTACAAAAATTTTATGTGTAACTATTTTCTCACACTACTAGCCTCGGCCGATTTGACGTACCTACAACAATAGATTACCAAAGCCAGAATGATTATTAAACTAATAATCCCTAATAAAAACAGAACAATTACCTACCTTTAGCCTGAAATATTACAGTTTTAAATGAACTGCGCAGTTAAAGTAGTGATCCGATAACAAGTATTATTTTTAAATCATTAAAAAGTCCAGAATTTTAGTTTTCCCAACTATAAATAACTTGCTTAAGTGTTCCTAGTGGTTTTTTTTTAAATACACAAGTCATACATATGGGAAGTTAAACTATTAGATTGCCAACCTCCACTCTTCACTATCATAAGACTTTAAAAGGATTTTCAATTACAGATAAAATAAATGATTAAGGAGATGGAGTTTGGGGAGTCGGGGTCAATAAAAAAAATCTATTACATGAAACTTTTGCAACTGAAACATGTATTTCAGAACATATTTAATATTTTGCCAACTGTAATTAAAATTATTCAAAATTAATGGTGACCAGATAAGTTTATTTTATTTTGAATAAAGGCGATGTGCATGAAAAGTTTTAAAATGTGCACTTTGAGGGTTTGGGGTGGTAGGTAGTGTAATATTTTGAGGGCAATATGACATTTTGTGACGATGTATGACGGTGGGGATAGTTTGCCGTAATATTTCCTATCCTCGACCCGTTCAACAGAATATAAAACGTGAAAGCTTTGTGTGTGTGTGTGTGTGTGTGTATGTTTGTATTTGCATGTGTATGCAGCATGTTTTTAACTGTCAAATAAAAATGAGACAAATAAAATACTTTTGAAATCAATGTTTCTTTATAGTCTCTGTAACAGAAGTAATTGTATCACTCACAGATTAAATGTTGGGAATGATTTATTACACAGCTTATGAATTTTGTATTATGAGGGGAAAACATTTGTAAACTGTTTTTGGATTTTGAGCTACTTTATATTGTTACAGTTGAACATACACATAACTGACATTGAAACATTTCTCATTCATCTATTATATTCTTATTTTATCTCATTTTGTATTATAACTATGTAATATTACTTCTTCATTCCACATTTTTAGTGCTATGTTACTGCTATGTCGTTTCTATGCAATTGCTTTTTTAAATGCTGTTATTAAATGGTTGTTTTATTTGTTTATTTTAAAACGGCCAATGTGAAAAAAGGCCTCCTTGCCTACTATTGTTACCGTAATTGATTAAAATAATGAATATATTAAAAATGTGAATTTATTATTACAGCTGAACATACAAATTGATGTGAATTTATTATTACAGTTGGACATACACATTGATGTGATTTTATTATTACAGCTGAACATACAAATTGATGTGAATTTATTATTACAGCTAAACATACAAATTGATGTGAATTTATTATTACAGCTGAACATACAAATTGATATGATTCTTGCTGGAGATGATGGAGTTGGGAAAACATCTACAGGAAACTCAATCGTTGGAAGGTCCAGATTTGGAAGGTCCCAGATCAGAGCTCAAATCTTTGAAGTGTTTGGCACGGAAATTGATGACGTCAAGCTTACAGTAATTGATCCTCTGCCTAAAAGTTACCAACACTCCATTATGAGAAAAGCTGGTCCCAAATTTAAAATATTCTATGATCCTCTCTTTAGAATTACTGAGGGTAATAAATTTCATGTGTTAATTTTTGTGGTTAGATTTGGTTCAGAAAATGATGCCACTTTATATGAAGAGATAAAAACAAACTATAAAGACAAACTATTTCAGCAACTATTGTATTACTGTGATGTCCGGTGGAGATGAATATTATAAACAAAATCCTTCCTCGACATTTGAAAGTTGGTGTGAGAGGCAGACAGGAATATTTGCAAACATGTACCAAGATTGTAACAAAAGAGCAGTTTTGTTTGATAATGAAACCGACACAGCTGGTAATATGAAGGAGCAACGGACTAAGTTATTGAAAACAATTCTTCAACTACCAAGCCAGGGAAAGACTTTTAAAATTATTAATATTAAAGGACGTTCGGGATGCGCCCTGCAGTAATGTAATAAAAGGCCTACATTACCTGTCTTTTATTTTCTGTGTGAAAACTAGCTAAATACTATAAAATATTAACAAATGCTAAAACTACAATTAATATTGTAATTTTCAGTATTGTTTTTTATTTATTTCTATTATGTACCTTTATAAATAAGAGACGGTTTATTGGTCAGCTTGTAGTCATCATAGTTTCAAAAAGTTATTTCAACTGTAATGTTGTCTGGGGTATACCACATTCTGAACTATATGTTCAACCTTAATTAAGCTCATTCATTTTCCCCCTACTAGAGTCAGGATCTCATCTAAATTTAATTTACTATGAAAAATAAAAGAAGTTACCTCCCAGAAAATTTTTACCTATTTTCCATTTCTCGTCGATTGTATGTAGTACTCAAAAATTATGTTTCATGCTTTCTTATTTGAATAGTCAACAACTCTTTTCCACTCATGCATTCTATATAGACCTACTTATCCGGAATTGTGTGTACGAGCCGACCCGCGGCGTATCATCCGCCGCTATTTGGTTGTTTTATTTTCTACTTTTCAGTAATTCATAATTTGTGAATTCGACAGTGATGTCATCTGATGAAAGCAGGATTTACTTTCTACATAGGACAATTTAGTTTAGACATTAGCTTAATATAGGCCACAGGCTTTTTTGACAAAAACACACTGGCCAATATGCTGGACACCCACGTACAATTATTTTAAAATTAATAGATCTATCAGAAAATTTATTTTGCACGTTTTATTTTTAAATTATCACAATCGTAATATATTTTACAATACAAGTACCAGATATAAGAAACTAACTTACCAATTATTTAACAAGACGTTAGAAATATCTGGCTGTTGTGGATTGGGAAATCTACTTGTGTTGGCTGATGGTAGTCTAAGCCAATCGGCTATCGACAGTTCATCTAAAATAAAATTCGCTAAGTGAGCCAAGAGGCGCGTTGGACGTAAAAACAGGATGTGCTGATTAATCTTGTGACCCAATTAGGAAAACCCAGTAATAATTTACTACCCTTTTGCCCAGTGTCCAGCGGCGCACATTTTAATAAAGTCCACTTAATGAAGTCATATTCACATCGGGCTTGGTTGTCAAATAGTCTACAAAATGTCAAACTTTCAAACATTCTTACTGTCGATACGTTTTCATCTGAGGCATTTATTTCAATTTACCGTAGATTTTCAAACCAATCAAATATTGCCAAAGTTTACTGTTTCACTCGTATTTTATTTTGTCTGTTCATGTGTAGCCTACCTTTTATACAATAGAGTGTATAGACTTCTTCTAGTTTCATGAGATCAGAACGTCAATCTTCCAAACCATTCAGTCCTCTCCTCAGTAACATCAGTCCATATTAAACTGTTTTATTCCCGCTTCTATACGCCTACAAACCAACTCCAAAAAAAAGCTTCTAAATAGAGCTGGAGTGACGCAGTTTTTCCTGCTATTTTAAGATACAGACGTGCAAAAGCTATTTAAATCTGTCAAGCTAATGTACATTAATGGCTGAACAAAGAAATCCATGAAAGCAACATGAGGAAAGTTTAGTGTTTGTGAATGTGGTAATATATTTGACAGGCTGATAGGTGTTCAGTATAAAGAACAAATGTAAAAAAAAATATCGTACGATACGAAAGTTTAGCACGTAAGAGATACCAGACCAGCCTTATAAGCAGAGTTTCTTCCAGAGTTTTGTTCCCCCCCCCCCCCGAACGAAATGAAATTTATATAATTTATATAGAAAATATATACTTTTAAGTGTCCGTCCCCCCGAAGAAAGTCTACCGCCTCCCTGAAAATTTCAAGTGCCCCCCCCCCCCCGGAGAAAAAAGTCTGGAAGAAACACTGCTTATAAGTTAAACAAATGTTATTTACATCGATAAAATGATAAGAGATGTGTCAATGAAGGTCATAGACAATGTTTCTGAAAGCTTTTTATTATATGACTACAATTCATGATTTTTTTTACACGCTTGAGACTACTGGGCACTTTTGCACTGACACCATCTTACATCACACACTAGTGACGCAGCTCACTTCACACTCACTAGTTTGTTAAATGACTAGATGAAAATATTTTTGTTTTAGAAAACTTCCATTTGTACAAATGATAAACGGGAAAATGGCATCCCCCTCCCCCCGTCAATCACCCCCCTGACACCCCCGTCATTACCCCCCCCCCCCCCGAGTAATTACTCCCGTGTCAATTACCCCTCGCCCAGTAGGACACTACTCCCCCCGGACAGGATTAGAGTTAGGGTTAGGGCTAGGTTTAGGGCTGTGTTTAGGGCTAGGGCTAGTGCTAGGGCTAGGGCTAGGGTTAGTGTTAGGGTTAGGGTTAGGGTTAGGGTTAGGGTTAGGGTTAGGGTTAGGGTTAGGGTTAGGGTTATGGTTATGGTTATGGTTATGGTTAGGGTTAGGGTTAGGGTTAGGGATAGGGTTAGTGTTAGAGTTCGGGTTAGGGCTAGGGCTAGGGTTAGGGTTAGGGTTAGGGTTAGGGCTAGGGCTAGGGTTAGGGTTAGGGTTAGGGTTAGGGTTAGGGTTAGGGTTAGGGTTAGGGTTAGGGTTAGGGTTAGGGTTAGGGTTAGGGTTAGGGTTAGGGTTAGGGTTAGGGTTAGGGTTAGGGTTAGGGTTAGGCTTATACCAAAGTCTAGCGTTGGTTTTGGTTTTGTGTGGAGTTTTAGGCTGAGGTGGATGCTTAGGTTTTGCTATTTTTCTTAAGGTTGGGATTAAATTAGTATATAGTATAGAGTGGGTTAGTGTCTGTAGAATAAAGATAATCAAACCGCAGTTATTGTAATCTTTTTTTTTTTAAAACAACCATCATATCAAAAATGCAAGAAAATTATTTTTTTACTATAAAAATTCTATTATAGTCGGCCGTTGGCCCCTAAAATGGCAGTTCCCGCCCCCCCCCCCCCCACATTGCAGGGTCAGGCGGCACTGTAGTTCCGCCCCTGGTCTAGAGGCGAGGAGGGCTAGGCCTGGTGGACATAAAAACAGGAAGTGTGTGATTATCTTGTGACGCAGTTAGGAAAACCCAGGACAAACTTACTTCCCTTTGCCCAGTGTCCAGCGGCGCACAGTTTAACAGTCCACTTAATGAAGTCAAATTAACATCGGGCTTGGTTGTCAAATAGTCTACAAAATGTCAAACTTTCAAACATTCTTATTGTCGTTACGTTTTCATCTGAGGCATTTATTTCAATTTATTGCAGATTTTCATTGCTATCAAATATATCCGAAGATTATTGTTTCACTCGTATTTTATATTTTGTCAGTTCATGTGTAGCCTACCTTTTATGTGTATAGACTTCTTCTAGTTTCATGAGATCAGAACGTCAATCTTCCAAACCATTCAGTCCTCTCCTCAGTAACATCAGTCCATATTAAACTGTTTTATTCCCGCTTCTATACGCCTACAAACCAACTCCAAAAAAAAGCTTCTAAATAGAGCTGGAGTGACGCAGTTTTTCCTGCTATTTTAAGATACAGACGTGCAAAAGCTATTTAAATCTGTCAAGCTAATGTACATTAATGGCTGAACAAAGAAATCCATGAAAGCAACATGAGGAAAGTTTAGTGTTTGTGAATGTGGTAATATATTTGACAGGCTGATAGGTGTTCAGTATAAAGAACAAATGTAAAAAAAAATATCGTACGATACGAAAGTTTAGCACGTAAGAGATACCAGACCAGCCTTATAAGCAGAGTTTCTTCCAGAGTTTTGTTCCCCCCCCCCCCCCCGAACGAAATGAAATTTATATAATTTATATAGAAAATATATACTTTTAAGTGTCCGTCCCCCCGAAGAAAGTCTACCGCCTCCCTGAAAATTTCAAGTGCCCCCCCCCCCCCCCCGGAGAAAAAAGTCTGGAAGAAACACTGCTTATAAGTTAAACAAATGTTATTTACATCGATAAAATGATAAGAGATGTGTCAATGAAGGTCATAGACAATGTTTCTGAAAGCTTTTTATTATATGACTACAATTCATGATTTTTTTTACACGCTTGAGACTACTGGGCACTTTTGCACTGACACCATCTTACATCACACACTAGTGACGCAGCTCACTTCACACTCACTAGTTTGTTAAATGACTAGATGAAAATATTTTTGTTTTAGAAAACTTCCATTTGTACAAATGATAAACGGGAAAATGGCATCCCCCTCCCCCCGTCAATCACCCCCCTGACACCCCCGTCATTACCCCCCCCCCCCCGAGTAATTACTCCCGTGTCAATTACCCCTCGCCCAGTAGGACACTACTCCCCCCGGACAGGATTAGAGTTAGGGTTAGGGCTAGGTTTAGGGCTGTGTTTAGGGCTAGGGCTAGTGCTAGGGCTAGGGCTAGGGCTAGGGCTAGGGCTAGGGTTAGTGTTAGGGTTAGGGTTAGGGTTAGGGTTAGGGTTAGGGTTAGGGTTAGGGTTATGGTTATGGTTATGGTTATGGTTATGGTTATGGTTAGGGTTAGGGTTAGGGTTAGGGATAGGGTTAGTGTTAGAGTTCGGGTTAGGGCTAGGGCTAGGGTTAGGGTTAGGGTTAGGGTTAGGGCTAGGGCTAGGGTTAGGGTTAGGGTTAGGGTTAGGGTTAGGGTTAGGGTTAGGGTTAGGGTTAGGGTTAGGGTTAGGGTTAGGGTTAGGGTTAGGGTTAGGGTTAGGGTTAGGGTTAGGGTTAGGCTTATACCAAAGTCTAGCGTTGGTTTTGGTTTTGTGTGGAGTTTTAGGCTGAGGTGGATGCTTAGGTTTTGCTATTTTTCTTAAGGTTGGGATTAAATTAGTATATAGTATAGAGTGGGTTAGTGTCTGTAGAATAAAGATAATCAAACCGCAGTTATTGTAATCTTTTTTTTTTTAAAACAACCATCATATCAAAAATGCAAGAAAATTATTTTTTTACTATAAAAATTCTATTATAGTCGGCCGTTGGCCCCTAAAATGGCAGTTCCCGCCCCCCCCCCCCACATTGCAGGGTCAGTCGGCACTGTAGTTCCGCCCCTGGTCTAGAGGCGAGGAGGGCTAGGCCTGGTGGACATAAAAACAGGAAGTGTGTGATTATCTTGTGACGCAGTTAGGAAAACCCAGGACAAACTTACTTCCCTTTGCCCAGTGTCCAGCGGCGCACAGTTTAACAGTCCACTTAATGAAGTCAAATTAACATCGGGCTTGGTTGTCAAATAGTCTACAAAATGTCAAACTTTCAAACATTCTTATTGTCGTTACGTTTTCATCTGAGGCATTTATTTCAATTTATTGCAGATTTTCATTGCTATCAAATATATCCGAAGATTATTGTTTCACTCGTATTTTATATTTTGTCAGTTCATGTGTAGCCTACCTTTTATGTGTATAGACTTCTTCTAGTTTCATGAGATCAGAACGTCAATCTTCTAAACCATTCAGTCCTGTCCTCAGTAACATCAGCTCATATTAAACTGCTGTATTCTAGCTTCTATATGCCTAAAAACGAACTCAAAAAAATACTTCTTCTAAATAAAGCTGAAGTGATTAATTTTTTTCTGCTATTTTTAGATACTTGCGTGCAAAATCTATTTAAATGTTTCAAGCTTATGTATATTAATGGCTGTAAAAAGAAAACCATGAAATCAACATTAGAAAACTTAAGTGTTTGTGAATGTTGTAAGAGATTTGACAGACTGAATTAGTCTTCATTATAAAGAAATATTTAAAAAATAATATAGTGCGATACGTACGTTTAGCACGTAAGAGAGACCAGACACGCCTTATAAGTTAAACAATTGTTATTTACTTCGATAAGATGATAAGAGATATGTCAATGAAGGTCATAGAAAATGTTTTTGAGAGCTTTTCATTATAAACTGATTTTACAATCTATGTTTTTTTTTACACCGCTGAGACTACAGGGTCCTTTTGCCCTGACAACATACAACATCACTTTACT